GATGGAACTGGGATGGACTGGGAGAGACTGGGAGGGGCTGGGAGGGACTGGGATGGACTGGGAGAGACTGGGAGAGACTGGGAGGAACTGGGATGGAACTGGGATGGAACTGGGATGGAACTGGGAGGGACTGGGATGGAACTGGGATGGAACTGGCATGGAACTGGGAGGGACTGAGATGGAACTGGGATGGAACTGGGATGGGACCGGTTTAGGGGGTCTCTGGCACCTCGCGGGGGGGCGCGGCCGCCCTGAGGGCCCAGCCCGGGGGATCCCGGGGGGATCCGGGGGGATCCGGGGGGGGATCTCAGACCCAGGGCTGGGCCCCCCCTCGTCAACCGCTGCGGGGCGGGGGGGGGGCAAACGCCGGGACCCGGGGGGGGACCCCAACCCCATGGGGAGGGGTCTCCTGCCCCACAGGCAGGGCCCCAATCCCATGAGGGGTCCCCAACTCCTCCTTGAGGGGGTCCCCAACCCCTTAGGGGGGATCTCCAACCTCCTGGGGGGGGTCCCCACCCCACAGAGCACCTGCAGCCCCACGGGGGATCCCCCCCAATGGAAAGGGCTGCAGGAGGGGCCCCCGAGCCTGGGGGGTCCCCAATCCTCTGGGGGGGACCCTCAACCCCTCGGGGGATCCCGGCGCTGTGCCCCAAGTGGCAGCGGGGGGGTCACGAAGGCCCCAATCCCGGGGGAGGGGGAGAGGGGGAGGGAACCCGACGGGACCCGACGGGGACGGGGACACCGAGAGGGCTCTGGTGACCCCCCCGGGCCGGTTTGGGGGTCCCAGGTGAGGTTCTGGGGGTGCCTGGGCACCGTTTCGGGGTTCTGGGCTCCAGCTGGGGGTCATGAGCTGCCGAAGCACCCCTGGGGGAGGTTTTGGGCTCCCAGGCACCGACACGACCACTTTGGGACCACAAGAACCAACCCAGACTCCGTTCTGGGGGAAAATTTTGGCCCCTGGACTCTTTTTGGTGTCCCAGGGATGAACTTGACAATTTTAGGGTCAGGAGCACTGAGCTGGGCACCGTTTTGGGCTCCTGACCATCATCCTGGGCTCCCAGGCACCAACTGCCCAAATTTTGGGGCCACAGGCAGTTTTGGGGATGTTCAGGGGTCCCAAAAATCAACTTGACCATTTTTGGGTTTATAAGAACTGACTTGGGTGCCAATCTGGGGTCCTGAGCATCACTCTGGCGTCCCAGGGACCAATTTAACCATTTTGGGGGGATCCTAGGCACCATTTTGGGGGTCCCAGGATCTATTTTGGAGTCCCAAGCACCATTTTAGGGGTCCCGGGCACCATTTTGGCCATCCTGGGACGACCAGAACCCACTCGCGCCCCGTTTTGGGGAGGATTTCGTGGGGAGGTCTCAGGGACGTTTCGGGGAGGTCTCGGGGGTTATCTGGGGGGGCTCTGTGGGGTCTCGGGGGGGCTCACCCAGGTTGAGGGTGAGCTTCATGCGCCCCCCGTCCAGCTCGAGGCGCAGGGTGTCGGCCGAGTGGCGCGAGGTGGTGGCCAGGACGAGGCCGAAGGCTCGGGGGGACATAAAGCGCAGGGACACGTCCTCGGCCTCCGTCTGCTCCCCCGGCACCTGCACCTTCAGGTACATGCTGCCGTCATAGCTCAGCACCGCCGCCTCTGCGGGGACACCGGGGACCCCCGTCAGCCTCGGCACCGACCCCCGGGACAGCCCCGAGCCCGTGGCCAGGTGAGCCTCGGGCCAGGTGGGTGCTGGCTGAGAACCGCGGCTCGGGGGGGACAAGGGACAGGGGACAAGGGACAAAGGACCACTTCCCCCCACCCCCGGCACCTCTCTGGGGACCCCCAGCTCGAGGTGTGCGGGGTTGGGGGGATTCAGGTGTGTCCAGGTGCTCCCCCAGGTGTCCCTGGGGACATCCGGGCACCTCCTCCCCAGGTGTGACCCCTGGCGTGTGTGTGTGTGTGTGTGTGTCCTTCCCCCCCGCGCCCACTCACCTGTCTCACAGCTGTGCCCCGCCCCCCTCAGGTGTGACCCCCCCTCCTGTCATGTCCCCGTCACCTCGGGGTCCCCGCGTGACCCCCCCAGCCCCCCCTAAGCTGTCACACCCTCCCCCCCCGGGTGTTTGGGGGGGGGTCCCGGACCCCCTGCGTGCCCCCCCCACCCGCACCGCCCCTCCCTCACCTGTCTCGCAGCGCGGCCCCAGGTACCCGGTGCCGCGACAGTCGCACACGAAGCGGTTCCAGCCCTCGCGACATGTCCCCCCGTTGCGACAGGGGCCGCTGGCGCACAGCCGGGGGGGGTCCCTCGCACACAGCGGGGCGACCCCCGGGGCCCCCCCGGCCCCCAAAAGCGCCCGCACGTCGCGGCTCCGCCCGTCCACGAACAGATCCCGCACGCAGCCCACGAAGCCGAGGCGCAGCCCCGCTGCCCAGAGCTCGGGGGGCGCGGGGGGGCCGGGGCGACCCTCGGGGAGCCCCCCCAGGTACAGCTCGGCCCCCACGTCCAGCACGTCGCGGTCACCGCTGGCCAGGAAGGGCGTGCTGCGGCTGTTCACCGACACCGAGCCTGGGGGGCACAGGGGGCGTC